TCCGACTGGCATGGGTGATGATGCATGTCTACATCTGACTATTTTCAGCAGCATGTATTCATTTTTTTCATGACACTATAAAGAAAGGATGTCAAGAACGGTCTTTCCTTGTCTTCTATCTTTTGTTTCAAAAAGGTGTTTGCCGTCGCAAAATGTGACTGACTACAAGTGACTGTCATCAATTTCTTTAGGCCTGGCCTCTATCAAGACATAAACCGGATTGATCTGGTTGTGCAAGACACTGGAAGCCTATGTCAGGAAAACCACGTCTTATACGTCATGGAGTTTTTGTTTTAAACTGTTGTGCCGATTGTTGAAACAACCTCAGACTGAACAGAAACATACTGAAACAAAACAGCAATCAAACGACATCTCCATAGTCAGTCCATAGATGAAACAAGTATATACCACATTTGACATCTGTATTGTCCACAGATAAAACAAGTAAATGCCAAATTGTCCACAGATGAAACAAGTAAATGCCAAATTGTCCACAGATGAAACAAGTAAATGCCAAATTGTCTACAGATGAAACAAATAAATGCCAAATTGTCCACAGATGACGTGGTGTAGACATGTTCCCATCTGTCTACTCCCTTTCACATCCCCCCTTCCACACAACACAGTCTATAGACGTGTTCTCATCTGTCTACTCCCTTCCACCCCCCCCCCTCCCCACAACACAAGTCTATAGACGTGTTCTCATCTGTCTACTCCCTTCCACTCCCATCCCCACAACTCAGTCTATGGACGTGTTCTCATCTGTCTACTCCCTTCCACCCCCCCCCTCCCCACAACTCAGTCTATAGACGTGTTCTCATCTGTCTACTCCCTTCCACCCCCTCCACACAACTCAGTCTATGGACGTGTTCTCATCTGTCTACTCCCTTTCACCCCCCTCTACACAACACAGTCAATGGACGTGTTCTCATCTGTCTACTCCCTTCCACCCCCTCCACACAACTCAGTCTATGGACGTGTTCTCATCTGTCTACTCCCTTCCACCCCCCTCTACACAACACAGTCAATGGACGTGTTCTCATCTGTCTACTCCCTTCCACCCCTCCACACAACTCAGTCTATGGACGTGTTCTCATCTGTCTACTCCCTTCCACCCCCTCCACACAACTCAGTCTATGGACGTGTTCTCATCTGTCTACTCCCTTCCACCCCCTCCACACAACTCAGTCTATAGACGTGTTCTCATCTGTCTACTCCCTTCCACCCCCTCCACACAACACAGTCTATGGACTCTATGGGATCCTGGTCGCACGAATAAACCTCAGTAGCTGTTTAGTTCATGCCCCGCTGGTGAACATCTTTATATTGTAATATATGTACTTAGATGCAGTAAAGCAAACCAAGTATTGGGACAGCTAGCCCCCCTCTTACAGCATAAGACAATCCCAATCAGCACAAAGAGACATCTTATTCAAAGCATATTTATTCCAACTCTGTGCTACCAGTGCCAGACATGGTCACTCACAACAAACCATAAAAGAAAATTAGTAACCAAGGAAATTAGATGTTTGAGAAGGGCTGTAGGACTGACCATAAGAGATAAGATCAGGAATGAGATCATAAGAGAACAAGTCGGCACAGAACCAATTCTGGATTACATACAAAGACAGCAAGTGAAATGGTTTGCCCACTTAGAGAGAATGCCTTGTGACACCATACCATACAAAGCGTACATGAAAAGAGAAGAAGGACGTAGAGCACGGGGTAGACCAAGAACAATATGGAAGGATAACATCAGAGAAACTCTACAACAGCACGATGTGCCTATGGTCGAGGCAGCCAGAAGAGCTAGAAACAGAACCTTATATCTCCCTCGACACCCACAGCGGTAAAAGAGGAAGTGAAGAAGAAGAAGAAGATGTACTGGAGACACTTTTCACAGCTGATATAAAGAAAGGGTCAGTAATAGGACGGAGTAGAAACAGCACAGAGAATGTGAATGACGAACGTCACATTCAACAGCATACAGAGGATGTGAATGACGAACGTCACATTCAACAGCATACAGAGGATGTGAATGACGAACGTCACATTCAACAGCTTACAGAGGATGTGAATGACGAACGTCACATTCAACAGCATACAGAGGATGTGAATGAAGAACGTCACATTCAACAGCATACAGAGAATGTGAATGAATAACGTCACATTCAACAGCATACAGAGAATGTGAATGAAGAACGTCACATTCAACAGCATACAGAGGATGTGAATGACGAACGTCACATTCAACAGCACAGAGAATGTGAATGACGAACGTCACATTCAACAGCATACAGAGGATGTGAATGAAGAACGTCACATTCAACAGCATACAGAGAATGTGAATGAAGAACGTCACATTCAACAGCATACAGAGAATGTGAATGAAGAACGTCACATTCAACAGCATACAGAGGATGTGAATGACGAACGTCACATTCAACAGCACAGAGAATGTGAATGACGAACGTCACATTCAACAGCACAGAGAATGTGAATGACGAACGTCACACTCAACAGCACAGAGAATGTGAATGACGAATGTCACATTCAACAGCATACAGAGGATGTCTCAATGGAGAGTATTAGTACTGTCAATCAAATCTTCAAACACTTTTACTTTGCAACCCCCCCCCCCCCTTTTTTGCACCCCCCAAAAATAAACCTGACCAACTTCAACTTTATTTTTAAAAGCTCACAAATGGGGCACACAGGCCCGTGTTACAATCAGTCATCCATGCATCTTTCACACAGCAACTGCATTTATTAATAATGTCTGCTAAGTACATTTATCTTTCTAATAATGTGAATACTAAGTATAAATTATAAAAGCATTACATGGCGATACCATTTTTAATTATAAGTACACATATATTACGTACGCACAAAGGTATTTAACTAATAAGTCGTGTATGACACGAAGGCCCACCAGGCGTCACATCTTTGATTACAACTTCCAGTCGCACCCAGCAGAGAATAATAACACGGTTATCTAATGTAGAGCCAGGTATCGCTTAGTCTTGATAGCCACCATACTGATAACTCTGTGTCTTCAACCTTTGATTCAGCTGACTTCGACCGTTGGACCTTCTTGTTTATTTCTCTGTGGACTGTTAACAGACGTGTTGATAAACGCATACCGTAAAACGTACGTACAAATGTTAGATACAGACAAAACATAAAACAGTACCACCAGGGCTTTGTATTATTCCGGTTGTTAGAGTCACACACATGTTTGTTGTTTATTAAAAATAATTTGTTGTTTTGAAACACCGACCTTGTTAAATTGATGACGGGGACTGTTGTAGCGGCTAGGAAGTAAGTAGTTTGTGCCGTCAGTGTGTGGTTGCTGAAACTGTTTGGCGTTAGTTGTCCTCACATAGCTACTGTTGTATTCAAGTAAATGAACTGTTGAAGTGTTGACGAACTGCGAATCTCGTCCACTAAAGCAAAGGAGGACGACCGACTCCTACTTCAGGAGTTTAATTATTTGTAACGAGGCGGCCCAACTGAGAGAACGTCAACAATGCAGGAAGGTGTTTAAAACTGTAGGCCAGCTTTACAAAAGTAGAAAAGGTTTCGGCTGTCAGCTTTCTCCAACAAACAACTGAATTTTGGGAATTTTATTGAACAAGCTAACGACAGCAGGGAAAGTAAAGATTTCAGGGTCACTTCCAGACTGTATCGAGCTTGTAAAACACACAAACCAGCATAATCAACTTGTATTCTCAAAAATATTGGGCAGTGTCTGAGACAACTGTAGTCAGTCGGGGGCAGAATTGTACCAATAATTATTGAATTTAATGTTCCTTCTCCGGCCGCCATCTTATCTGGACATGTTCGTCCGTCTAACCACCGACACACACCAGATAGTGCCCGAGTTAACTGATAGAGGGCTTGGCTTTTTCAACACTGTTTTCGTATGCGTTTTGTTAGTTCATGTTTATGAATACATATGTATATTAATATGGGGCTATCACACACACACACACACACATACATATATATATATATATATATAAATATATGGCTCTCCTCCGAACTTCTACCCCGGCCAAACGAATACCATAACAGGGCCTCAGTCGTGTGTAAAATGCAGACTGTCTGTCACGGAACAAATCGCATCAAAACTAGGATTACTTGACAATTTCAAGAGACGCAACAGTGCAGACGATAGTAGCGACCATTGACAATTTCGAAACACGCGACATGACAGACGATAATATGGAGATGGCGGGGAGACCACGCGCTCCGACTCACATTATAAGTACACCCTCGCTCCGCTACGCGCGGCGCGGATAGGGATCTAAACTAGATGCCTGGGACTCACAAGCAAATAAATTGAAGAAAGTTGCAGGAGATTCTGTAGCTGCTGCTCATGAGTCCCAGCCATCTAGTTTAGCCCCCCAAAAGTGCCGTGCGTAGCGGCGCAGGGGATACTGTCGGCTGTGCGGCATAATCGCAGAAACAGGTCTGCAATTAACATATCGCTGAGACCCTGTTGGAGCATTTGTTTCGTTATTTGGAGCCGATCCTAGTTTTGCCGCAATTTGTTTCTTCAGCAGGAAGTCCGACAAGTCCACATTTTTCATAGGACTGAGGCCCTGTTAGGATATGTGTTTGGCCGCCATAATGTCCGGGTAGAAGTTCCGAGGAGCGCCATATATATATATAAAATTCACACAAAAGTGTTTGGGGAAAAAAGGGGGGGGGGGGGAGTGGGGGATTATTTATTGTCTAACACAACAAACATTTTTAAAATATAAGAAAATGAAACGGTTCATAGAAATTTTCCACCAGTTAACATCAGAACCACACAATGATTCTGTGTTGAATTTGTAAGCAGATAGTAACAAGTTAAAGACAGAGATAATTTAACTATTCTTTTTGTATAAATAATGTTGACGAATGCACAAAGGAACAATACAAAGTTTGGCTGAATGTTTTTGAAATAGTTTATCAACAGATATATTGTATTTTACAGATTAAGTGTTGAAATGGCCGAAAGATTGAAGGCAGTGATTGGCCACTTGAATTACAACTTACAGAATGAAGTTTGCTCGACTGTATCCTTAAAATCTGGGCGATCATAAACCTGACACACACATTCGAGACACACACCTTTGAGACACACACATACTTGAGACACACACATTTGGGACACTCACACTTTAGACACACACACTTGAGACACACACACACTTGAGACACACACATTTGGGACACTCACACTTTAGACACACACATTTGGGACACTCACACTTGAGACACACACATTTGGGACACTCACACTTTAGACACACACATTTGGGACACTCACACTTTAGACACACACATTTGGGACACTCACACTTGAGACACACACATTTGAGACACTCACACTTTAGACACACACATTTGGGACACTCACACTTGAGACACACACATTTGGGACACTCACACTTGAGAGACACACACATTTGGGACACTCACACTTGAGACACACACACTTGAGACACACACACTTGAGAGACACACACATTTGGGACACTCACACTTGAGACACACACACTTGAGACACACACACACTTGAGACACACACATTTGTGACACTCACACTTGAGACACACACATTTGGGACACTCACACTTGAGACACACACACACTTGAGACACACACATTTGGGACACTCACACTTGAGACACACACATTTGGGGCACTCACACTTTAGACACACACACTTGAGAGAAACATTTGACACTCTGTGTGATGTAAGGACAAGACTTTACTACATGTGGATATAATAATAGTCTGAACATCTTTTAAAATGTTGCTTTTAAACACATGTTAGAGAGTATAGCACAGACATGTTAGAGAGTATTGCACAGACATGTTAGAGAGTATAGCACAGACATATTAGAGAGTATAGCACAGACATGTTAGAGAGTATAGCACAGACATGTTAGAGAGTGTAGCACAGACATGTTAGAGAGTATAGCACAGACATGTTAGAGAGTGTAGCACAGACATGTTAGAAAGTATAGCACAGACATGTTAGAGAGTATAGCACAACATGTTAGAGAGTATAGCACAACATGTTAGAGAGTATAGCACAACATGTTAGAGAGTATAGCACAACATGTTAGAGAGTATAGCACAACATGTTAGAGAGTATAGCACAACATATTAGAGAGTATAGCACAACATGTTAGAGAGTATAGCACAGACATGTTAGAGAGTATAGCACAACATGTTAGAGAGTATAGCACAACATGTTAGAGAGTATAGCACAGACATGTTAGAGAGTATAGCACAACATGTTAGAGAGTATAGCACAACATGTTAGAGAGTATAGCACAACATGTTAGAGAGTATAGCACAGACATGTTAGAGAGTATAGCACAACATGTTAGAGAGTATAGCACAGACACGTTAGAGAGTATAGCACAACATGTTAGAGAGTATAGCACAGACATGTTAGAGAGTATAGCACAGACATGTTAGAGAGTATAGCACAGACATGTTAGAGAGTATAGCACAGACATGTTAGAGAGTATAGCACAGACATGTTAGAGAGTATAGCACAGACATGTTAGAGAGTATAGCACAGACATGTTAGAGAGTATAGCACAGACATGTTAGAGAGTATAGCACAGACATGTTAGAGAGTATAGCACAGACATGTTAGAGAGTATAGCACAACATGTTAGAGAGTATAGCACAGACATGTTAGAGAGTATAGCACAACATGTTAGAGAGTATAGCACAACATGTTAGAGAGTATAGCACAGACATGTTAGAGAGTATAGCACAGACATGTTAGAGAGTATAGCACAACATGTTAGAGAGTATAGCACAGACATGTTAGAGAGTATAGCACAACATGTTAGAGAGTATAGCACAGACATGTTAGAGAGTATAGCACAGACATGTTAGAGAGTATAGCACAGACCTTTTAGAGAGTATAGCACAGACATGTTAGAAAGTATAGCACAGACATGTTAGAGAGTATAGCACAGACATGTTAGAGAGTATAGCACAGACATGTTAGAGAGTATAGCACAACCTGTTACAGAGTATAGCACAACATGTTAGAGAGTATAGCACAGACATGTTAGAGAGTATAGCACAGACATGTTAGAGAGTATAGCACAGACATGTAAGAGAGTATAACACAGACATGTTAGAGAGTATAGCACAGACATGTTAGAGAGTATAGCACAGACATGTTAGAGAGTATAGCACAGACCTTTTAGAGAGTATAGCACAGACATGTTAGAGAGTATAGCACAGACATGTTAGAAAGTATAGCACAGACATGTTAGTATAGCACAGACATGTTAGAGAGTATAGCACAGACATGTTAGAGAGTATAGCACAGACATGTTAGAAAGTATAGCACAGACATGTTAGAGAGTATAGCACAGACATGTTAGAGAGTATAGCACAGACATGTTAGAGAGTATAGCACAGACATGTTAGAGAGTATAGCACAGACATGTTAGAGAGCATAGTACAGACATGTTAGAGAGTATAGCACAGACTTTTTAGAGAGTATAGCACAGAGATGTTAGAGAGTATAGCACAGAGATGTTAGAGAGTATAGCACAGACATGTTAGAGAGTATAGCACAGACATGTTAGAGAGTATAGCACAGACATGTTAGAGAATATAGCACAGACCTGTTAGAGAGTATAGCACAACATGTTAGAGAGTATAGCACAGACATGTTAGAGAGTATAACACAGACATGTTAGAGAGTAGAGCACAGACATGTTAGAGAGTATAGCACAGACATGTTAGAGAGTATAGCACAGACATGTTAGAGAGTATAGCACAGACATGTTAGATAGTATAGCACAGACATGTTAGAGAGTATAGCACAGACATGTTAGAGAGTATAGCACAGACATGTTAGAAAGTATAGCACAACATGTTAGAGAGTATAGCACAGACATGTTAGAGAGTATAACACAACATGTTAGAGAGTATAGCACAGACATGTTAGAGAGTATAGCACAGACATGTTAGAGAGTATAGCACAGACATGTTAGAGAGTATAGCACAGACATGTTAGAGAGTATAGCACAACATGTTAGAGAGTATAGCACAGACATGTTAGAGAGTATAAGGCAAACTGTTCAGTTATGAACCTTAAGAGGTTTCAGAAGCAGAATCCAGTTTCAGCAGTGTCCGAGTTACCAGTGACCTCTGGTTTCAAGTACACGGTGGATAACAGGAAACTGACATTCCAGCAGCGGCAGTTTTATGAGGACAACGGTTTCTTGGTCATCAAAAAGCTGGTGCCTTCAGACAAGCTCCAAAAATACAGGTAAAATAGTTTACACCAATCACAATGGCAGTACAAGGGAAATGACTCAAAATACAACAATAATACTGTTGAACAGACTTAAGTTAAAATACAATATTACAGGCGAAGAAGCAGTTGTTCACAAGATAGTTGGCACCTGTGAACTTAAGGAGCTATGGTGGCTAAGTGGCCAGCAAGTTTGCCTTTCAACCTGGTAGTCATATGTTCAAATCCCTATCACGCTGGGAATATTTTATCATGTGACCTGGGTCTTGGGGGGAAGGAGGAATGGATTAATTTTAGAGATACTGTCAAGAATGTAGAACAAGAAATGTGTGGAACTAAAAAGTAAGGGAAGTCAGGATGTAAGATATCAACATGATGGAATGAAGAAATAAAGGAAATGGTGAAAAACAAAAAGAAAGCTTACCATTTGGGGTTAAAACACAGATCAGTAAAGAACTACACAAGGTATGGGCAAGCCAGAAAAGAAGCCAATAAATCAATAAGAACAGCCAAGAAAGATTCATTGGAGAAGTTTGCAGAAATGTTGGCATCAGAAGAAAAAGCAGCAATAAGAACCACTACAAGAAAGTAGGAGCTATAAGACAAAGCAATGAGGAAAAGCAACAGAAATACTAAATGATGAAAAAAGGACAACCTTTTCTAGGCCCCAGAATGATTCTAGAGAGATAGAGTTAATATTTTAAAGAACTACTAAATTTCAAGAATAAAGATGACAGTGCAAACAACAATACTGTAACAAACACAGCAGAAGAGACAAATACACTAGAGCCAGCAGTTCTGTTGACAGAAGTAGAAAATGAAATAAAGACAGCACCAGGGCACAAAGCAACTGGTAGTGACAAACTCCCTGCAGAAGCCATCGAAACAGCTGGAGAAACAGGAGAAATGGGTCAGGTAAGTTTCCCAGACTGCCTGGCTAGCACAAGAAACATCAGATGGCTGGCAAACAGCAATAATTATACCAGTAAGGAAAAATAAAGGGCGTACAAAAGAGTGCACTAATTACAGAGGAGTATCACTTTTAAGCCACACAGGGAAAATGTATGCCAAATTAATTGACAGAAGACCAACACCATAAATAGAAGAACAACTTTCAGAATCCCAGATGCGTTTCAGACGTAATAGAAGCTGCACAGGCACAATATTGACATTAAGACAGCTGACAGAAAGAGCTATAGAGTATGATACGACATACAAAGTCGCATTTATAGACCAGGAAAAAGCGCTTGACCGAGTGGATAGAGTTGGAAAAAATATAAAAATAACCAACAGAGTCAAAATTAGATGCTACAGCCAGAATTCTCCATCAGGATCTTGTTTGTGAAGTGTTTACTATTGACCTTTTTGCAGGGACAGGTTTGCAGAAATCTGCAGACGTGATGTGGTTGTTCCTGGTTTGACAGTTATGCGGGACATTGCCATCAAGAACTCAGAGTTTGTCCCTGGTGAGCAGGCAGTTACTAAGATTCAGGATTTCCAGAATGATGACGTTTTATTTGAATACTGCACTTTACCAGAGGTAATTATTTGAACAGTTACAATATAAACATTATTAAAGTGAATATCAATTTATTTTCTTCTTTTTCTGCCCTTTATCTTTCAGTGGAGCATAGAACATCAACCAGTCCATGTGACTGACTTTCTACCCCACCAGGACATCACACAAGCGATAAACACCCGATGACACAAAGTGCCACCATGTGAATGGAGATCACTGTGAAGAGGTCCCAGAAACCGCGTTCAGCCATTAGGCCATATTTATGGCCTGGCTATATTGCGGCCCTTGACAAGAGCCCGGGTGAGGCTTCAAATAACGAAAAGAAAGAAAAAAACTACATGAACTGATACATGTAATGATGACATGGGACTCAGCAACTGCGACATGGCGTCCCTTAAGGTGGTGTCCTGTCGCCCACACTTTTCCTCTTATTCATCAACGACCTGGTTGCTGAAATACCAAATGGAATCAAAACGGCAATGTATGCCGATGACCTGATACTGTGTTGCACCAATGAACATGCAACGATAGCCACAAGAACACTACAGCGGGCTACATATGCGCTTGAGGAATGGGCAAATAGATGGTGTGTCAGCATCAACACAGACAAATGTAGCACCACACTCTTCACCCTCTCCCCTAAGCAAAATGCGGGCATCATCAAAATAAACGGAATACCCCTAAGAGATAATGAAAAACCCACGTACCTCAGAGTCACATTTGATGACAGGTTGACATGGAGAAAACATATCAACAAGGCAGCAACCAAAGCCAGGAGAAAGACAGCCATACTAAGAAAACCAAGTGGAACCACATGGGGAGCCAGTGGGAAAATACTCAATAAAGTATACAAGCAGAGCATACAACCACACTTGGAATATGGGTCAACTGTATGGTGTTCAGCATCTAGTACCATATTAAAGGAGTTGGGCAAAGTGCAAAATCAAGCACTCAGAGCCATCACAGGAGGGATGAAATCAACCCCCAAATTAGAAATGGAGAAAGCTGGGAAAACACAGTCACTGAGAGAACGCAGAGAAACAAAGTTGCAAATATAGGCTGAAAAGTTCCTCAGTATGCCAGATCACCCCATGAAGAGAGAGAAATGCAAACTAACAGTGCAAATCCAGACAAATGTGAAAGAAATATTTAACGAGAAAGAACAAGATAGTGTACAACGCAGAATGGCCACCCTTAGTTATATTGATGAAGAATACCCACAAGAACAATGGGTCAGAGTCTATACAGATGGGTCCGCAGAAAGTGCAGTTAGAAATGGTGGTGCTGGAGTGTACATCGAATTTCCATATGGTACTAGGGATAAGTCCAGCGTACCAACCGGAAAGTACTGCTATAACTATGATGCAGAAACTCAGGCTATCAAGATAGCAACAGAGAAACTGCTAAATACCAATCTTGGCTCACAGTATGTGGTAATGCTGACAGATGCAAAATCAGTACTTGAAGCACTCCAGTCTAGGAAACTACCAGAATTGCAAACACTGCTGACACAACTTAGCCTTCAGTAAAGAGTTGTAATGCAGTTTATACCATCACATTGTGCAGTGCCTGGAAATGAGAAAGCTAATAACTGGCAGGAGAGGGTGCGACAAAAGTGCAGCCGGATGTACCAGTCACATACCACCAAAAGAAAAGAATCATTAAATCAATCAGGAAACCACCAGCCCCAGCACAAGACGACTATTTTATTATGGACATATCAGAACAAGTCATTATCCTCCGCCTCAGAACAGGGCACAACCGATGACGTAACCACATGTACACAAAATTCAAGATAGGCGTATCAGCCATGTGCACCTGTGGAAAGGTGCCCCAGATAGCAGAGCATATACTCCAGGACTGCACCGAATTTGACCCATTAAGGCAAACCTTTTGGCCAGAAAGAATAACAGTGGAACGTAAACTCTATGAACCACTGGATGAATTAACAACAACAGTGAAATTTATACAAGAGACAAAATTGCTGATATAGACAACTTTTTTCTGGCGAATGAAAGAAGAAGATAATGGGAAGTCAGAAGTAATGGTAATTTCCAAGAAAAGAATAGTGCCTAAATGTATCATGAAAGTCAAAGCGTTATTTTAGGACAGGTAGGACAATTTAAGTGTTTAGTCACATGGATAACCTTGGAGGAAGATGTATCACAGAGATAACATTGGAGGATGATGTATCACAGAGATAACATTGGAGGATGATGTATCACAGAGATAACATTGGAGGATGATGTATCACAGAGATAACATTGGAGGAAGATGTATCACAGAGATAACATTGGAGGATGATGTATCACAGAGATAACATTGGAGGATGATGTATCACAGAGATAACATTGGAGGATGATGTATCACAGAGATAACATTGGAGGAAGATGTATCACAGAGATAACATTGGAGGATGATGTATCACAGAGATAACATTGGAGGATGATGTATCACAGAGATAACATTGGAGGAAGATGTATCACAGAGATAACATTGGAGGAAGATGTATCACAGAGATAACATTGGAGGAAGATGTATCACAGAGATAACATTGGAGGATGATGTATCACAGAGATAACATTGGAGGATGATGTATATCACAGAGATAAAGAACAGAAAAGGACAGGCCAAAACTGTATTTAATAAAATGAAGAACATTTTATGCAATAAATGCATGTCATTGGAGCTTGGAAAAAGAATTCTTGCATGCTATATAGAGCCAGTTTTAACATATGGATGTGAATCCTGGACAATCAGTAAACCCACAAACAATTTCTTGAGGCCTCGGAGACTTGGTTTTACAGAGGAATCCTTAGAATTCCTTGGACAGCTAAGAAGAGCAACCCAGATTTTAAAACGAGGTGAGGGCTCGAAGACAACTTATCACAAACATCAGAAAGAGACAGTCATCATTTTTGGTCACATTATAAGAGGGAAACTGCAACATGTTGTGACCACTGATAATATCTGTGGAAAGAGAGACATATATTGACAGCCTTTTGTCATAGCATGAAGGAATATCAACACACGAACTGATACACACATTTGTGGACCGCAGATTGTAGAGAGGCATGATTGCCGACGCTAGTCTGCAAGGTACTTACTTGATGATGGTGATGATGCATTATATTTAAAACAGATGTTCCACATTAACCATTTCCCCCACCAACTCCCCCCCCCTCTTTCCCCTGTGACATCCAGATTATAGACTACGTGGAATGTTTCACCGGACCAGACATTGTGGCTGCACACACCATGCTGATTAACAAGCCACCCGACTCTGGTACGTGCATACATTTAATGATTATTGTAGATGTTGGTTGTGATTATGTCAATGTAGATTGTGATTATTGTAAATGTTAGTTGTTTGTGTAGATTTCCATTATTATAGTAGATGCTACTATTATTGTTGATGTTAGCTACTATTATTGTAGATGTTAGCTACTATTATTGTAGATGTTAGCTACTATTATTGTTGATGTTAGCTACTATTATTGTAGATGTTAGCTACTATTATTGTAGATGTTAGCTACTATTATTGTTGATGTTAGCTACTATTATTGTAGATGTTAGCTACTATTATTGTTGATGTTAGTTGTGATTATTAAAGTTTGTATTTTTTGGGTAATTGTTAGTTGTCATTTTTGTAAATGTAAACTGTTATTGTATATGTTAGGAATTATTGTAGGTGTTAGTTATTCTTGTAGATGTTGTTATAATACATGTTAGTTGTTATTTTTTTGGATGTTATTATTGTAATTGTATTGTTATTGTAATGTTATTGGTTTGTTTAGATGTTAATTATTATTATTGTAGATGTTAACTGTTGTTATTGCAGATGTTAGTTTTTATTGTAAATATTATTTTTGGTAAAAATAATTGTTAATGTTTTTATCATGTTGTTTGGTATTATTGTAGATTTTTTAATTTAATCAATTTTAAGAGCTCCTTTTGCCAGGACAAAAATATGAAAATAAAACCCCCAGACAGTGTGATCATGTGACTGGCACATTTCTCAAAGACTTTCTAGAGACTCTCTAACCATTGTTTATGTTAAGTTTGGATCCAGACTGGGTAGATTTACAGAAACAAATGATCCCGGCTCCCAGTTGACTCAACCCAAAATTGGTAATAGGTCCTTGGAAACAAAGATGGCCGGCCAGATGTTGTCCCCTTCATCCATGCAGTACTGACTGATCTATAATGAGCCTAGAATTGAATGCCTGATGCCTTATTGGCGTCAGAAGAGATCTTTATTTAATTAACTCTTTCAGGACCACATTTTTTTCTGAGTTTGGACGGCATTAGTTTTGAGCGGAATTTTTTTACTGCAACAAGACAAAGCTAAAACCTTCCTGAAGAAAAAGTATTGGCTGTATCGTGACATTTAATATATCAAATTAAACATAAATGAGTGCAGAATAAACCTAAACTATATAAATGTCAGTATAACAAGAAAATATTCTCAAAATCACACAACATTTAAAAATGTTAGACACATATGAAAATTATTCACATAAAAATGTGTGTGCTTATCTTATTTTTTTACTTGTTCAGCAACACTGCTATCCAATTCTAAGAATTCATGTCTTCTCTGTTTAGTTATGTATCAGCAAGTCTTTATTTGAAACACTTTAAATACTTTGGATGTTAAGTTAATTTTTGTATGACATGTCAGATTTCACAACAACCGAAAATCGGAAAAACAGCTGATCGAAACATTGATCTGATTGAAATATTTTTTGAAATGTTCATATCCTAAACTAAATTATCACCAGTAGTTTTGTCATTTTATATCAATCATAATATCAAGACTGTTGTCACCATCTGGCAGAGATTCATCAATGATAGAGCAGTTTGGACAGTTCTAGACCTTTTACCTCATCATTTAGTTTAGAAAAATCACGTAAAAATTGTATCCCATCTAAATAATTTGTTTTAAATCAGAAAATAATGCACCGAGCATGATGAACATCGCAAATGAAAGGACTTCCTGTTGTTAATCCTAATTGTTCAAAAACATTTTCATAAAAGTTTGTTTTTCCTACAAACAGAACAAAATTAGAGTGTCTGTCATGATCCGGTATACTGGCTATTCCTCTTTAAAGAGTTATTTTTAAAAAAAATACCTTTATATTTTCTAAAATCAGGAATGTGTTGCTATGGTAACTAAATTCCTCCCCCCCCCCCCCAAGTATCTTATTTCCATGTTCGGGTGAGTTTTGTTTTGTTAGTGCTCACAGAATTTCCAATATTGCAAGCAGGTTAGTGAAAACATGTCAGTTTTGAAACCAATGAAGAAATACAGTTTTTTAAATAAAAATCTATTGTAGCTTGAGCATTACATTCAATATAGACAGAATATGGATAACTTCGGTAATTGCAACAATTGTAGACAGAATATGGGTAACTTCGGTAATTGCAACAATTGTAGACAGAATATGGGTAACTTCGGTAATTGCAACAATTCTAGAATGAATATGGGTAACTTCGGTAATTGCAACAATTGTAGACAGAATATGGGTCACTTCGGTAATTGCAACAATTGTAGACAGAATATGGGTAACTTCGGTAATTGCAACAATTGTAGACAGAATATGGGTAACTTCGGTAATTGCAACAATTGTAGACAGAATATGGGTAACTTCGGTAATTGCAACAATTGTAGACAGAATATGGGTAACTTCGGTAATTGCAACAATTGTAGACAGAATATGGGTAACTTCGGTAATTGCAACAATTGTAGACCTAATATGGGTAACTTCGGTCATTGCAACAATTGTAGACAGAATATGGGTCACTTCGGTAATTGCAACAATTGTAGACAGAATATGGGTAACTTCGGTAATTGCAACAATTGTAGACAGAATATGGGTAACTTCGGTAATTGCAACAATTGTAGACAGAATATGGGTAACTTCGGTAATTGCAACAATTGTAGACAGAATATGGGTAACTTCGGTAATTGCAACAATTGTAGACAGAATATGGGTAACTTCGGTAATTGCAACAATTGTAGACCTAATATGGGTAACTTCGGTCATTGCAACAATTGTAGACAGAATTACATTCTCCAATGAACGTAAAATTGTGACAACAGAGATGAAATGCCTTAGAAGAGTTGCAGGAGTTTCAAGGAAAGACGAATGCTAGGAATAAAGCCAGTCTTACAGGTCATCAAAGAACAACAAATGAAGTGGTTTGGACACTTGACAAGAATGCCCTGGTACTATCTGCCACAGCGAGCCATACTAAAACATTACAACGGTTATAGAGCGAGTGGAAGACCTCGGAAAATATGGAGTGATTGCATTATGAACACACTTACAGAAATTAACACCAGTCTTAATAGTGCTCTTCACATAGCTCATCACTGAACATTACATCTCCCCCGACACTTCGATGAGGTGGAAGAGAAGAAGAAGAAGAAGAAGAAGAAGAAGAAGTAGACAGAATATGGGTAACTCCGGTATTTGCAACAATTGTAGACAGAATATGGGTAACTCCGGTATTTGCAACAATTGTACGTGTGCAGGTAAACTGACCTCCAGACATCCCATGCACCAAGACTTGCACTACTTTCCGTTCCGACCAGCGGACCGAATCGTCTGCTCCTGGACTGCTATGCAAACAATCAACAGGGAAAATGGCTGCCTGGTTGTGGTTCCTAGCACCCACAAGGGGCAGTTACTGGTGCATGAGTACCCAAAATGGGAGGTAGGCAAACGTCTGTCATCAATATGTTTACATTTCAGAGATAACGATGGTCTGCATAAATCTAGTCAGTAATTATAGATAAGTACCATGGTAGTCTCAAATTGATAATGTGCTGACTTATTTGGTGCTAACTGATGAGAGCTAACTAGTGTGTAGGGAGCTGTGGTTGCAAAGTGGCGAGCCACCGGAAGGTCGTGAGTTTAAATCTTTAATTGGCTGGAATCTGGAACAGCTGGCTACCAGGTTGACCAATGGGATGGCCGGCATGATGTCGACCATGTCATTAATGCGCACTGATTAGTTTCTACAGACATGAATCACCAATGTGACCTCATCCTCCTTTAAATGGTGCCAGTTGGTCCTGGACCTAATTGTTCTATAGCTGGTGCTAGTACAGTTATCTTGCCCTAGTTGTTGGGGAGCTGTCACAGATGCATCTCTCCAGGCACATGGAACTGTTCCCACAGTCTGGCAGTTAGGGGAGATCTAAGGCAGCTTTTGTTTGACTCTTGTTCCAAGGTTATCTCAGTAATCGTGTTTAACATTGCCTCAATTCCTGGTGACTTTCTCAGTTTCAGTTTTCACCTTATGAGCTTCAGCTGACTGTGAGTCTCAGACTGATGCTTCAGCTGACTGTGCGTCTCAGACTGATGCTTCAGCTGACTGTGCGTCTCAGACTGATGCTTCAGCTGACTGTGCGTCTCAAACTGATGCTTCAGCTGACTGTGCGTCTCAGACTGATGCTTCAGTTGTAGTTAACACACACATGCACATGCAACTTCAACACAACCAACACACACAACCTCAGCACAACCAACACACACAACTTCAACACAACCAACACACACAACTTCAACACAACCAACACACACAACTTCAACACAACCAACACACACAACTTCAACACAACCAACACACACAACTTCAACACAACCAAAACACACAACTTCAGCACAACCAACACACACAACCTCAACAAAACGCACACATAGCATTGAAGAACCTACACACAGAACTATAGAACAACACACCACACAACACAAAACTGTAGAACAACGCACACACAAAACTACAGAACAACACACCACACTACACAGAATTGTGGGTTCTAGGGTCATATTGTGGGGAAAATAGACGCACTACCTCTATTTTAAGCATGTCATAAGAGTCTACCAATTTGGGGAGGGGGGAGGTTCCTTCAAAGTCGGACTGCATCTGCCTGAGAGGGACAAGGTACATACAGTCTGCTTACAAATAAGTCAGATCAGTAAAATTGGTAAGCGTACAACATTTAGGTTCTGGAACAAGTCCAGAGGTGGATGAAAAACCAGAACTTTCTGCCAGTTTTTACACCTGGTGAACGTGGAAAAGGAAAAAGACTATACAGAACTGTAGAAAAAACAAACCACACTACACAGAATGGTAGTACAGCATACACACCGAACTACACACCACACTACACGGAATGGCAGAACAACCCACACACAGAACTACAGAACAGCACACCACACAGATCTGTTGAACAACCCATACACATAACTATAAAACAACACACCACGCTACACATATCTTTAGAACAACCCACACTAAAACTAAAGAACAGCACACTACACAGATCTGTTGAACAACAGAAACAGAACTATAGAACAGCACAGCACACTACATAGATCAATAGAACAACCAACAAAGAGAAGTGCTTGATATATTGAAGGAGACATATTGATGATGTTTCAGGGTGGAGTCAACAAGATGTACCATGGGATACAGAACTACAGCCCCAGCCAACACCGGGTCCACCTGGAGATGGAAGAAGGGGACACAGTTTTCTTCCACCCCCTCCTCATCCATGGTTCAGGGGCCAACAGGTCAAAGGGATTCAGGAAGGTGAAAGAACCTCACATATCTTTGCTGACATAACTAGTGATAATACAGACATAAATAGGGCCATTGCTGATGAAACTAGGGCCAATACTGATGTAACTAGGGCCAATGCTGATATAACTAGGGACATTGCTGATGAAACTAGGGCCAATGCTGATGTAACTAGGGACATTGCTGATGCTACTAGGGCCATTGCTGATAAAACAAGGGACATTGCCATAACTAGGGCCATGGCTGATGCAACTAGGGACAGTACTGATGAAACTAGGGCCAATGCTTATGTAACTAGGGATTCTGCTTACATAACATAAGACATTGCACCACAGCATTAACTGTAGGTTCGCACTGGTGCAGTAGGTTGGCACTGGTGCAGTAGGTTGGCACTGGTGCAGTAGGTTGGCACTGGTGCAGTAGGTTGGCACTGGTGCAGTAGGTTGGCACTGGTGCAGTAGGTTGGCACTGGTGCAGTGGGTTGGCACTGGTGCAGTGGGTTGGCACTGGTGCAGTAGGTTGCTAAAATCTTTTTTGGTTTGAAATGATGTCTTTAGTTCTTGTTAACTGCTGGTGTCTTGGCTCTCCATGTTTTAGCCTGTATTGTTAACTGCTGGTGTCTTGGCTCTCCATGTTTTAGCCTGTATTGTTAACTGCTGGTGTCTTGGCTCTCCATGTTTTAGCCTGGATTGTTAACTGCTGGTGTCTTGGCTCTCCATGTTTTAGCCTGTATTGTTAACTGCTGGTGTCTTGGCTCTCCATGTTTAAGCCTGTATTGTTAACTGCTGGTGTCTTGGCTCTCCATGTTTTAGCCTGTATTGTTAACTGCTGGTGTCTTGGCTCTCCATGTTTTAGCCTGTATTGTTAACTGCTGGTGTCTTGGCTCTCCATGTTTTAGCCTGTATTGTTAACTGCTGGTGTCTTGGCTCTCCATGTTTTAGCCTGTATTGTTAACTGCTGGTGTCTTGGCTCTCCATGTTTTAGCCTGTATTGTTAACTGCTGGTGTCTTGGCTCTCCATGTTTTAGCCTGTATTGTGAACTGCTGGTGTCTTGGCTCTCCATGTTTTAGCCTGTATTGTGAACTGCTGGTGTCTTGGCTCTCCATGTTTTAGCCTGTATTGTGAACTGCTGGTGTCTTGGCTCTCCATGTTTTAGCCTGTATTGTGAACTGCTGGTGTCTTGGCTCTCCATGTTTTAGCCTGTATTGTGAACTGCTGGTGTCTTGGCTCTCCATGTTTTAGCCTGAATTGTTAACTGCTGGTGTCTTGGCTCTCCATGTTTTAGCCTGTATTGTTAACTGCTGGTGTCTTGACTCTCCATGTTTTAGCCTGTATTGTTAACTGCTGGTGTCTTGGCTCTCCATGTTTTAGCCTGGATTGTTAACTGCTGGTGTCTTGGCTCTCCATGTTTTAGCCTGGATTGTTAACTGCTGGTGTCTTGGCTCTCCATGTTTTAGCCTGTATTGTTAACTGCTGGTGTCTTGGCTCTCCATGTTTTAGCCTGTATTGTTAACTGCTGGTGTCTTGGCTCTCCATGTTTTAGCCTGTATTGTTAACTGCTGGTGTCTTGGCTCTCCATGTTTTTGCCTGTATTGTTAACTGCTGGTGTCTTTGGCTCTCCATGTTTTAGCCTGTATTGTTAACTGCTGGTGTCTTGGCTCTCCATGTTTTAGCCTGTATTGTTAACTGCTGGTGTCTTGGCTCTCCATGTTTTTAGCCTGTATTGTTAACTGCTGGTGTCTTGGCTCTCCATGTTTTAGCCTGTATTGTTAACTGCTGGTGTCTTGGCTCTCCATGTTTTAGCCTGTATTGTTAACTGCTGGTGTCTTGGCTCTCCATGTTGTAGCCTGGATTGTTAACTGCTGGTGTCTTGGCTCTCCATGTTTTAGCCTGGATTGTTAACTGCTGGTGTCTTGGCTCTCCATGTTTTAGCCTGGATTGTTAACTGCTGGTGTCTTGGCTCTCCATGTTTTAGCCTGTATTGTTAACTGCTGGTGTCTTGGCTCTCCATGTTTTAGCCTGGAGACCATCTCCTGTCATTGAATCATTCATTACAGATGTCATTCATTTTGCTTACACTGTAATACATTTTGATTACATGAATAATACAGTTTGTTTACATGTGGAATATATTTCTCCCACTGATACACCTATACAAAATGGACAGCTTACATGTGTAATCTACGTGTGTTTCATCAGTCCATCTCCTGCCATTTTGTCTGGGGGAAAGCCCACTACATCGACATCGCTGACACAGAGCAGCAGTTTATCGCTGACGAGGTTCTAGAACTTGTCCAGAAGAGACTGGGTCCTGACATCAACATTACATTCCACGTCAGATACTGGCAGTTGTGAAATCATGTCATCCTTGTGTTCACAAGCTCACCTTGTATGTGTTCACAAGCTCACCTTGTATGTGTTCACAAGCTCACCTTGTATGTGTTCACAAGCTCACCTTGTATGTGTTCACAAGCTCACCTTGTATGTGTTCACAAGCTCACCTTGTATGTGTTCACAAGCTCACCTTGTATATGTTCACAAGCTCACCTTGTATGTGTTCACAAGCTCACCTTGTATGTGTTCACAAGCTCACCTTGTATGCGTTCACAAGCTCACCTTGTATGTGTTCACAAGCTCACCTTGTATGTTTTCACAAGATCACTTTGCATGTGTTCACAAGCTCACCTTGTATGTGTTCACAAGCTCACCTTGTATGTGTTCACAAGCTCACCTTGTATGTGTTCACAAGCTCCCCATGTTTTCACAAGCTCACCTTGTATGTGTTCACAAGCTCACCTTGTATGTGTTCATAAGCTCCCCATGTATTCACAAGCTCACCATGTATTCACAAACGCACCATGTATTCACATACTCCCCATGTATTCACAAGCTCACCATGTATTCACAAACTCACCATGTATTCACATACTCCCCATGTATTCACAAACTCACTATGTATTCACAAACTCACCATGTTTTCACAAGCTCCCCATGTATTCACAAACTCACCATGTATTCACAAGCTCCCCATGTATTCACAAACTCACCATGTATTCACAAGCTCCCCATGTATTCACAAACTCATCATGTATTCACAAACTCACCATGTATTCACAAACTCCCTATGTATTCACAAACTCACCATGTATTCACAAACTCACCATGTATTCATAAGCTCTCCATGTATTTACAAACTCACCATGTATTCACAAACTCCCTATGTATTCACAAACTCACCATGTATTCACAAACTCACCATGTATTCATAAGCTCTCCATGTATTTACAAACTCACCATGTATTCACAAGCTCATCGTGTATTCACAAGCTCATCTTGCGTTCACATATAGTTTCTCTGTTTACTCCTGGATACTACATATAATTTCCCTGTTTACTTCAGGATATTACATATAGTTTCTATTTGTACTCAGGGACATCATATATGGTTTCTGTAGGTGGTGGATGGAGTGTAAGAGCAGCTGACAGGTATTGTTGGTTATGGTCTGCACTCTGCGGCGATAGGCAGATGATCTCATCAGTAGAGACAATGGCTATGGCCACCGACTAGTATAGTCACTGCTCAGGAGGAAAGCAACGGCAAACTACCTTCTGCAAATTTTGCCAAGAATCCATAACAATCATGAAAGAAAACATTCAAAAATGGTTTAGAAAACTTATTAACCTCACTCCAAAGAAATAGTGAAAATCATAACTTATTTCTTAACATAGCAAAAACAAAGATAATGCATACAAACAAAACTGCCATGGAGAAGGAAATATATGTTAATGAGGAAAGATTGGAAGTGGTGGAAAATTTCGAATATCTTGGGTCACTGGTTACCAACAATGGTGACACAATGAAAGAAATTAAACGGCGACTATCAATTGCTCTTCAAAGACTAAAACAACTGAATAAATTATGGAATTGTACAGATAGAATTACAAAGGTCAGATTTTTAAGAGCATGCATCTTTTCCATTGCAACATACGCCTGTGAGACCTGGACACTTACTAAACAAGCGGAACAGCGCATAAATGCATTTGAATATAAATGTTACAGACAGGTTCTAAGAATATCTTGGGTAAAGAAAAGAACAAATGCATCCATACTTCAAGAGCTGAATATTGAAGAGGGTTGGCTAGTAAAGACAATAAAACAAAGAAAATTGAAATATTTTGGTCACTTGAAACGTCATCGAAGTCTAGAGAGTACAATAATGGAGGGGTATATGCCTGGGAAGAGAGGAAGAGGAAGGTCAAGGAAAAGATGGGTGCAGGATGTGGCAGATGATCTCCAGATGGGTGTATCAGACGCAGGACATCTTGCTCAGGATAGGAAGGTTTTCCGGAGGGTTGTTATGGCAGCGAGGTTCCGCGAGGGACATGCTACTGAATGAATGAATGAAGTGTGACGCCTGCAAATCTTCAAACTGAAAGAAGAGATATTTAAACAAGCAAAGAACATACACTGTAAACAACATGCTTCCACAACATTTGATAACAAAGTAGATCAATCTGTTGAGCCAGAGATGTCTTTAACAGGGATCTATGGTCTCTCTTGTCTGCCTACATGAGAGAGAGAAAGACAGAGGTAGATCAATCTGTTCAGCCAGAGATGTCTTTAACAGGGATCTATGGTCTCTCTTGTCTGCCTACATGAGAGAGAGAAAGACAGAGCTAGGTCAATCTGTTGAGCCCCGAGATGTCTTTAACAGGGATCTATGGTCTCTCTTGTCTGCCTACATGAGAGAGAGAAAGACAAAGGTAGGTCAATCTGTTGAGCCAGAGATGTCTTTAACAGGGATCTATGGTCTCTCTTGTCTGCCTACATGAGAGAGAGAAAGACAGAGCTAGGTCAATCTGTTGAGCCCCGAGATGTCTTTAACAGGGATCTATGGTCTCTCTTGTCTGCCTACATGAGAGAGAGAAAGACAGAGGTAGGTCAATCTGTTGAGCCCCGAGATGTCTTTAACAGGGATCTATGGTCTCTCTTGTCTGCCTACATGAGAGAGAGAAAGACAGAGGTAGATCAATCTGTTGAGCCCCGAGATGTCTTTAACAGGGATCTATGGTCTCTCTTGTCTGCCTACATGAGAGAGAGAAAGACAGAGCTAGGTCAATCTGTTGAGCCAGAGATGTCTTTAACAGGGATCTATGGTCTCTCTTGTCTGCCTACATGAGAGAGAGAAAGACAGAGCTAGGTCAATCTGTTGAGCCAGAGATGTCTTTAACAGAGATCTATGGTCTCTCTTGTCTGCCTACATGAGAGAGAGAAAGACAGAGGTAGGTCAATCTGTTGAGCCCCGAGATGTCTTTAACAGGGATCTATGGTCTCTCTTGTCTGCCTACATGAGAGAGAGAAAGACAGAGCTAGGTCAATCTGTTGAGCCAGAGATGTCTTTAACAGAGATCTATGGTCTCTTTTGTCTGCCTACATGAGAGAGAGAAAGACAGAGGTAGGTCAATCTGTTGAGCCCCGAGATGTCTTTAACAGGGATCTATGGTCTCTCTTGTCTGCCTACATGAGAGAGAGAAAGACAGAGGTAGGTCAATCTGTTGAGCCAGAGATGTCTTTAACAGAGATCTATGGTCTCTTTTGTCTGCCTACATGAGAGAGAGAAAGACAGAGGTAGGTCAATCTGTTGAGCCCCGAGATGTCTTTAACAGGGATCTATGGTCTCTCTTGTCTGCCTACATGAGAGAGAGAAAGACAGAGCTAGGTCAATCTGTTGAGCCCCGAGATGTCTTTAACAGGGATCTATGGTCTCTTTTGTCTGCCTACATGAGAGAGAGAAAGACAAAGGTAGGTCAATCTGTTGAGCCAGAGATGTCTTTAACAGGGATCTATGGTCTCTCTTGTCTGCCTACATGAGAGAGAGAAAGACAGAGGTAGGTCAATCTGTTGAGCCAGAGATGTCTTTAACAGAGATCTATGGTCTCTTTTGTCTGCCTACATGAGAGAGAGAGAAAGACAGAGGTAGGTCAATCTGTTGAGCCTAGAGATGTCTTTAACAGGGATCTATGGTCTCTCTTGTCTGCCTACATGAGAGAGAGAAAGACACAGGATGGGTGTAATTATGTAACATTTCACACTGTTAGGTCAAGGAGACATGCTAAAGTTCAATGTTATGACCTCTTGGTTTTCTTAGGACATCTGGAAATACAAAAGTCGCAAGGTCCGAGGAGAAGACCAGTTCACAAAAAATGCATACAAGTGACATGCAAGCCTTGCATGGATGCCGCCAGCCACAGAAATTATGATCAGCATTTGTGCAGCTAAATGGTTGCAGCCAGAAATTATATCTATCATACATTACTTATTATCATTGTTTACAGTGGACATTCAGTGGGAAAACTATCACTCTTCACAGCACATCTGTTTCTGTAATGATCTCACAAGTAGTGGCTCTCTCACAGTTGTAGTCATAATGATTGTCCTCATATCTAATCTGAAGCATACATACATAAATGATGAACGAAACCTAGTAAAATGTTAGCGATCTTTATTGGTCATGTTTATCCGTTAGGTTAGGGTATTTTGAAGATCAAAAGCATACAGTGCTTGCAGATGAAACTTTAGTCAAACACAACAAGCAGTCAACCAATAACACACACACAGTCACACAATATTCAGTTAACAGATAACATAGACCCACACATATACCCACACAAGAATTAGTCAACAGATAACACAAACACATATATGCACACAACAATCAGTCAATAGATAACACAGACACATATATGCACACAACAATTAGTCAACAGATAACACAGACACACACATATACCCACACAGCAATCAGTCAACAGATAACACAGACACACACATATACCCACACAGCAATCAGTCAACAGATAACACAGACACATATATGCACCCAACAAGAAACATCAGGTGGGCTTTAATCAGACCATGTGAGCCTTCAGGTGGGAAACAACTTGGGCTGTGAGCCTTCAGGTGGGAAACAACTTGGGCTGTGAGCCTTCAGGTGGGAAACAACTTGGGCTGTGAGCCTTCAGGTGGGAAACAACTTGGGCTGTGAGCCTTCAGGTGGGAAACAACTTGGGCTGTGAGCCTTCAGGTGGGAAACAACTTGGGCTGTGAGCCTTCAGGTGGGAAACAACTTGGGCTGTGAGCCTTCAGGTGGGAAACAACTTGGGCTGTGAGCCTTCAGGTGGGAAACAACTTGGGCTGTGAGCCATGTCTGTAGTCTGCCTGGTTGATGTCTTTGTTCCTGGGTTTATGTGAATCAGTTTACCTATGCAGTCAGTCACATCCTTGACTTGCAGAATGATTGTATTTGTTTTACTGATTGCTTTCAATGATCATGTTGGCAAATAAAATATTCCTTCCATTGTGTTTTGTTGAAATATGGGAATTATCACCCATGTTGATTTGTATCACACAGCGAAAGCAGTTTTACATGGTCTTTGTTGGGTGCCTCAAGACTGAGAACAGGCTGTTCTCAGAGTTAGTATCCTGGCCTACTGCCACAGTGGGCCTGGGTCCTACTCACAGTTGAATGTTGAATTAAGAATCAACATCGCAGCACTTGGGACACTCCCATAAGTGCTCAGTCCCCATCTTCAGCAGCAAGAGAAGAGTTCCAATTCATATGGTACTAGTAACCATCTGATTGTATTCCGTCTCATCCTTCTCCTGAGTGTTCAGTGCCGGCCAGATCACCTAGTAACTCCTCGCAGCGCCATTCTCCTTAGACTGTAATGACCTATTTGCACCTCCTTAGTGTTCACTTGCTCCCAAAGGGCCGTCACAATATCTCACTTGTCATACATCAATTCACCACCAAGTGCCTGTCAGTCTATCTGTTTGCTCATTTCCCACAACACCAGCATGACCTGGAGAATATATGCAAAGGAGGCTAACTACCGGGATGTCTGAAGTGATGCTTGCCACTCTGCAGGAAGCATGCCTGTTTTCAACTTTCTCAAGATGCTCTGTGAGCAGTTACAATCACTGCATGTGTGTACAGCTGATTTTCAAACCAGCAGAGATTGTCTCCACCTCCATTCTCAAACTAGATGTTTTGGTATGATATGCAAGGCTTTGCTGCACTAGGTGGTGTCCATTCGCCTTTGCTACGAAACCCCATGCACTTCGTCTGCTCCTCAACACAGAGCCATCTGCATAGATAATCACATCAACTGGGTGGGAATTGTCATGAATTGTTTTTTGAACTTCTAATTCTGCAGCACTAGCTGGCTAGTCCCTGCACTCATGACCTAACATTGTTAGAACTATACACAAGTCCAAAACGTGTTCGGAAATCTTGTCCCCCCTCCCCCCCCCCCCCCCCCCCCCCCCCCACTCAAAATTATCAAGCCTGCAAAAATGTCTGATTGTGTCTTGAGCTTGAGCCATCCAAGACCTTCCTCTTTTCAGTGTCTTGTATCTCTACTCAGGGCGACATGCAGGAGATGCTTCTTGTCCTCAGCTACTCTGATATAGGACTTTACTTGCAGAACTTTGAGCCTATCTGCAATAGCAGGCAATACAAGTATATATACTGCATACATACTACTGGGGTATCTCCTGTACATCCATAATCTATCATTAACAGGATCACATGCTGGAACATTGTATTCTTTGTTCCATGTCCATTGCTGCCATAATCTTGAAAGCATTGAGTCCTTTCTGGCATTTCACCACAACTGCCTCCATGTGATGCCTATAGGACAGGCTTCTATCGAAAGTGATACCCAGGTACCTCAGTTTTTCTTTTTTGATGTTACTGTTATTAAAATTAACTGTGGGGCTTGGAACATCAGCTCTTACAATTCTATTGTCCAGAGAGCACCACAAAACAGCTCCCTTTTCCGAGTTGATGACAGCCCCCAATTTTGCACACCAGTCAGTCACTTTACAATTGCCTGCAGCTCTTGGGCTATCTGTTGTCTATCATTCCCTTGCGTATAAGCAAGAACATCAGCAAATGTCAATATCTTTCCAACACCTGGTGCTTGAAGTTCTGCAATCTTGCTTATATACACAGTAAAGAGCACCGGTGACATTGCAGAACCCTGGGGTAGTCCCAAAGCTATATTACATGGTTCTAAGGTCCATGTACCCAGGCTATGGGCAGTTATGGTCAGCTTTAACATCTTCTGGCCAGGACAGTTCTAGGTTCTTCTTGGCTCATCTTGAACTCACATCACAGAGGAAGAGACAAAGGAGAGACAAATTCAACTGGAGAGTTGTTTCCCCTCAATGAGTGGAGAAGTGACAAAATACAGACTATAGGCCAGAAACATCTGACAGGGTAGGACAGAAACATCTGACAGGGTAGGACAGAAACATCTGACAGGGTAGGCCAGAAACATCTGACAGGCGGGTAGGCCAGAAACATCTGACAGGGTAGGACAGAAACATCTGACAGGGTAGGACAGAAACATCTGACAGGGTAGGACAGAAACATCTGACAGGGTAGGACAGAAACACAAGCAACAAATGACAGCACATATAACAATATAATTTTACAATATCTGTTAAACTTGATGTTCAGTGTAAGTGGTACAATGTCACAGTACCAAAAGTACAGTACCAGTGACATGATGTCATGTTAGAAGTAGCACAATGATAGTGGTACAGTGTCACAATGCCAGTGGTACAATGATAGTGGTACAAAGTCACAATGCCAGTGGTACAATGTCGGTGGTACAAAGTCACAGTGCCAGTGGTACAATGTCCGTGGTACAAAGTCGCAATGCCAGTGGTACAAGGACCGTGGTACAATGTCACAGTGCCAGTGGCATGATGTCATGGTGGAAATGGTACACTGTCACAGTGCCAGTAGTACAGTGGCATGGTGCTAGAGAAACAAAGTCATAGTGCCTACATCAGAAAAAAAAAAAGACATGCAAGTGAAACTGTCTGACATGTCACCCTATGTAACAGTGACAGATCACACAAACAAAGTTAAAACTACAGCACTTTGTAGTATCGTATGAGATCAAACAATGGTCGTCTGGCACAAAGAGACACACACACTCTCAGGTTGTTGTGAGCATACTGGACGCCTCATCTCAGACAGCACCATGTCACATCCAACAGCATTACTGCTGTCTGCCTGGCATGTCACATCCAACAGCATTACTGCTGTCTGCCTGGCATGTCACATCCAACAGCATTACTGCTGCCTCCCTGATATGTCACATCCAACAGCATTACTGCTGCCTCCCTGACATGTAAAATCCAATAGCAAACAGCATTACTGCTGTCTCCCTGACATGTCACATTACATAAGGAATTTCACCAGCTCACACGTAAACCGGCTACCAGCCATTTTGAACACCACGACACAACGGCTGCACAAATGAAAGGCATTCCACAGGAAAAACACAGCTCACAGGGCTGCACCAACTCAGTAGCTCAGGCAGCGAAATCTAGCCTACGGTCTGTTTGTAGAAACTGCATTAGAAAATGTCAACAGAAAAAAATAATTTGAAGCTTAACATTCTGCCAAGCCTTTCCTCCATTTCGCCGAAAGTCCAAGATGTCATCACAAACAAGACAAGCATCAGTTTTAACAATAATAATCTGTGAACATGAGACAAATGCTGCCATTGTGAAGAGGGATAGACAATCACACATGACAAACTGACTGGTACACATGAGGGGCAGACAATCACACATGACACACTGACTGGTACACATGAGGGGCAGACTATCACACATGACACACTGACTGGTACACATGAGGGGCAGACTATCACACATGACACACTGACTGGTACACATGAGGGGCAGACAATCACACATGACAAACTGACTGGTACACATGAGGGGCAGACAATCACACATGACAAACTGACTGGTACACATGGGGAGAAAGGGTGGGAGGCGGGAGCAAATAACACCTGTGATCCTTTACCCAAAACCAACAAAATAACCATTAAAGCAAAAATTGGTCCATGGACACAGGTTAAGTAAACAATTGAGATCAGGAATGGTAAACAATTCAACACACACACTGTAAACATAAACTGTTGGTCAGCAGAGATCTGTACATGAAAACATGCAACAGTACTGGTACACACAACTAATCAGTGCAACAGTACTGGTACACACAACTAATCAGTGCAACAGTACTGGTACACACAACCAACCAGTGCAACAGTACTGGTACACACAACCAACCAGTGCAACAGTACTGGTACACAGAACCAACCAGTGCAACAGTACTGGTACACACAA